ATTATAGTAATAATAATGACTAAACTAAGAATAATGTAAAACCTATGAAATAAATGAAATAGCTAAAAATGTCAACACTGAAACATGTGACGTCGTCGCTATCAGTTGCTATATGCATGGTGCGCGCCTGTCTCCCTCTTTCTCCCCCTTCTCTCTCTTTCTGGCTCACCTGCCAGAAATAAACGATGTAGTTCTCCTTGCCTCTCTCGTCGTTGTACGTGTAGAGCATCACGTAGCAGTCTCCACCGAAGAACATGCCGTAAGCGTGCTCGGGGTATTCTCCTAGCTCCAGGTCTTCCTTTACGACCCAGATCTACGGAAGAGAGACGCACACGCACGCGGGGGATATATATGGGGTAGGTCCATTGGATTTCGTTATGATATAGAGCGAATTTAATTCAACGATTACCAATTACATTAATTATGAGTAGTAGCAATTAATTCGTTCATTTATTCACTTATCCATTGATTGATTGATTGATTGATTCATTCATTCATTCATTCATTCATTCATTCATTATTTGTGATTTAACCTAACCATGTATCCATTTATTGAAACGGGTTTCAAGCTGTTTTCGACATGTTGAGTCTTTGCAAATGTGGCACTATAGTGACTATAGGTGGCATCAGTGCGGGCGACTAGCATCACACGTCATACCTTGATGTCACCGGATCCGTTGTCCGGACACCACTGACTGTCCGTCTGCTTGCTGGGGTCGTGCAGCGTGCTCGCATCAAAGGTCGTCTGCTCAACATCTGAAATCACAAAACAATTGCGTCAGCTGGGGGTACATATAATCTCTCGTTATCGCTACTGCTGCTGTTGGTGCTGCTACTGCTGCTGCTATTGTTACTACTACTACTGACAATTATACTTTGACAATTATGATGACAACGATGACGACCACGAAGTAGAAGATGATGACAATGCCAATCATGGTGACTACGACAACAATTATGATGACAAAGACATTTACGAAGACGACGAAATGATGTTGACGATGACGACGACTACAACGATGCTATACTCACGCGCGACGCCGCCAACGTGGCTGATTGGACTGGTGGGCGCTATGTTCTCGTACGACGTGCCTTCCTCTGGCCATTCCCTGAAGAACTGCTTGAACACAGGAGGTTCGCCTCCCTCCACGACTCGCACGACGGGTATCCACATCGGATACTCAAACACCTCGATGAATTTCTGCACGAACGAGAGCACAATGAGATGATGATGAGAGCACCACTGATGCAATGTCTCAACCAACGAGGCACAAGTGAGTCAATGTCTCAACCAGATCTCTCTCTCTCTCTCTCTCACTCTCTCCCTCTCTCTCTCTTCGTGCTCTCTCTTCCCCTCTCTCTCTTTCTCTCTCTCTCACCTTTCCTTGCCACAGGTACACATCTTTGCCCTCGTGTGCAATGAATGCATCACTGGAGTTGAGGTTCGTGGCGACTGGATCAACCTACAACATATATGGTGATGCTTTACAATTAGATTCTTCGAAAAGTTAGATGATGATTCGAACGCTTGGCAAGTTGCAGGCCTTTTTGCGTGCGTGCGTGTGACCGTGTGCACGTGCGTGATTGTGCATGTGTGTGCGTGCATAAGTGGGCATGTGCATGTATATTGTATATGTGTGTACGAGTGTACGTGCGTGCGTTCGAATGTATGTAATGTATATCGTATGCGTAACAATCACGTGCACATGTACGGCCGCGTACCTCGACTGCTCTTGTGTTAAACTCGTTGGTGCCCCGGATGTGGAAGAGTCTCGTCGCGTCGCCACCCTTCGAATGCTCTTCATGGTGGTCGGCGTGACCACCCTAGCAACGACGTAAACAAACACGTCACTATGACGACACGCGTGATGTAGCAGCACGAAGCGAAGGAAATATATCGGTCTAATGGAGAACGAATGAAAGTCAAAACGTTTTCCGATGCTAAAAACATAATCGGGATAACCTTCTGAGAAGATAGTACGCTTTCCAGATTAGTAATCGATATAAAATTTTGTTTTTCAAAATACGATACGAGAATAGAAATATTAAAGATACTAAGAAGTAGGAGAGCAAACGAATCTCTGAATTTTATTATCATTGATATTGGTGTTTTTTACGTTACTTACCATAAACACAACCAGTTTACCCTTGAACATGCGCAGAAAATGCTCAGGTTCCTTTCCCTGTACGAGTCGAACCTGACAACAGAAATCGTGACGGGTTACGTCACGCACGGTCACGTGGTGACCATTCCGATCACGTCATCAGCGTACATCATACATTATAACAAGGTAAGGGTAAAATACCACGTAAAAGTCTCCAATGTTAAAAGAAGTATTTTATCTAATTTATATTTATTAATTTGGTAACTTGTATTTCCTCTACCGCTCACCCTCCCTCGCTATTCTTCCCGCTATTCCCCTACCTTTCGTCCCCACTCTCCCGCACTTGCCCCACTCTCATCTTCCATCCCCTCTTTCCTCCCCTGTCTTTGTTGCGATCCTCCCCACTCTTATACTCTACAGCCGGGGGGCACTCCATATATATTGCAGGGTAGGTATATGCCGCGGGAGAGACCCCCCTTTTTCACCCTAAACTTCCATTCCAGTGCATCGCATTTTTAAGAATATCTCGTTCCAGAGCATCACAAGTTTACATTTTCGAACATAGCCAGTTCCAGAGCATCCCACATTCAACAAACATTAGTTCCAGAGAGCCCCATTTTCAGGTCTGAGTTAGTTCCCGAGCCCCTCCTTTTTGACTTCGCAGTGGCACATACCTACCATAATGTGGGGTGAGTGCCACCCCCCACAGCTCTACGCTAGGTTCCTGTCTTCCTGCTTCATCCCAAACTCCATATCCTCACCCTTGTGCTCTTGTTCAACTCTTCTCTCCCATCCTCCCTTTCTTCCTCCCCTATTCCTCGTCCTCACCCTCCTGCTCTTCCCGCACCCTCCCGGCCTCTCTCTCTACCTCCGCCATTTGATGCGCCCACCCTCCTGCTCTCCGTCGCCCCGCCCACCACCCTCCTCCTCTCCGTCGCCCCGCCCACCACCCTCCTCCTCTCCGTCGCCCCGCCCACCACCCTCCTCTACGTCGCGCCGCCCACCACCCTCCTCAGCTACGATCCGCCCGCCCACCACCCAACGCACCTGCCACAGCGAGCCACCAGGAGCTCTCTGTATCATGAAAACACCGTGGGCCTGCCGCACGCTCCCCTCTCATCCGACTGCTCTGAGACCCTGTATATTAACGAGCGAGTAAGTCACGTCCAGTAACGTCAATACTAGCCAGTAAGTAATACTATTTATAATAACCAATGCACGATAAATACTGACTTTATTATTAATCAATACATAATTCAATTAATAATGATGACTAAAACGTAAGAATTAATGTAAACCTATTGAACATGAATCTAATAACTAAAAATGTCAACAGCTGAAACGATGTCGTGACCGTCCGCTATCAGTTAGCTATAGGCATGTGCGCGCCTGTCCCTCTCTCCCCCCTTTCCTCTCTCTTTCGGGCCCCTACACCTGCGCCACCGAAAGTAAACGATGTAGTTCTCCTCAGTGCCTCTCTCGTCGCTCTGTAACGTTTGCTACAGCCATCACCTAGCAGCTCGCCACGAAGAACATGCCTCGTAATCAGCTGCTCGGTGTACTCTCCTAGCCTCCAGGTCTTCTTTTAGACCAGATCTACCTGACAAGACAGAACGCACACGCACACGGGGATACTATATGTGTAAGCTCTATTGATTTCTTGATGCATATTTAGAGCGATTTAAGTTCAACGATTACAATTACATTGGAGAGAAATGATGGGGGATCGAGTAGCAATGAATTAAACCAATTCGTTTCATAATTCATTTTATCCATGTTTGATTATTATTTATTGATGCATTCATTCACTTCATCAATCACTTCATTCCATTAATTTGTATTAAGCTTAACCATATCCATTTATTGAACGCGTTTCAAGTCCTTTTTCACCCATTGGAGTCTTTTGCAAGATAATATCGCCACTATAGTAGACATATAGCTGTTCCGCGGGCATCAGTGCAGGCCGGCTAGCGCGATCACACGTCATACCCTTGACGTCACCGGAATCCGTTGTCCGGACACAGCGACTGATCCGTGTCTGCCTTGCTGGTCGTGCAGCGGTGCTCGCGAGTCAAGGTCGGTCTGTGCTCAACATTCCTAAATTCACAAAAACTAACTTCGCGTTCAGGCCGTGCGATACATAAATCTCTCGTTATCGCATACTGCTGCTCGTTGGTGCTGCTTACTGCTGTCTCTATTGTTACTACAACTCTACCTGACATATTTATACTTGCACAATTATGATTGACAATCCCCGATGCACCCGGACTCATCCAAATATGTAGACGATGATGACAATGCCAATCATTGGTGAGCTACGACCAACAAGTTTATGATGACAAACTACAAATTTACGAAGACGACGAACGATGATCGGGACGGGCCAGGGGGGGGGATGGACGACGACACAGAGCGATGACCCTATAGCGCGAGCGGCGCCCGACGCCCGCAACGCGTGGGTCTGCGATTCTCGGGTGGCGAGGCTTGGCTGGCGTCTGCTGGGGTCTCGCGTCTATGTTCGGGTAGCGGAGGGGGCGCGGTGGGGCCGGTGGGGCCCGAATTGGCCGCAGTGGAGGAAAGAAGAGTGAGCGGTCTGAGAGGGCGACAGGAGGGGGGGTGGCGGCGCTCCGACTGGCACGACGGATGCAGGCGCACGGGGGAGTAGGACGTGCGAGCGGAAGTCGGCGATCGAGCCTGCAAAGAGGACGACGGCGGTCGATGAGATTTTTCGTCGGCGGGACGAACCGAAGAGCACAATGAGATGATCATCGAGAGAGCAACCACTGATGCAATGTCTCCAACCACACGAGCCACAAGTGAGGGTTCGAGAGGGTGGGTGGGGCTGGCGAGACCGAGTGAGGGGCGAGGGCAAGTTGAGGGGGTGGCAAGGTGCTCGGGTCAACCAGCCGACACAAGCTTGAGTCGAGATGGGTCGGGGAGGGGGGGGTCGAACCGAGGGCGGAGGGCACACAGTCAAGTCGAATGTCTCAAGCTTAGCCGCGAAGCCCCAAGTGACGTCAAGCTGTCTGCAACCAAGCGCAGGCACACAGCTGAGTCAAGTCTCAACCAGGCCGAGGGCACAAGTGACCAATGTCTTCCAACCAGCGAAGCACGAAGTTAAGTCAATTTTTTTTTTTTTTCTTTTGTCAACCCAAGCGAGGCACAAGTAAGTCAATGTCTCAACCAGCGAGGCACAAGTGAGTCAATGTCTCAACCAGCGAGGCACAAGTGAGTCAATGTCTCAACCAGCGAGGGCACAAGTCGATCAATGTCTCAACCAGCGAGGACAAGTGAGCAATGTCTCAACCAGGAGCCACAAGTGAGGGTCAGCTCCTCAAACCAAACGAGGCACAGCTGTGACGGTTCAGTCGTCGTCACATCAACAGACGGCCACTCTACACCGAAATATGGACCGGTCACCTAGACTGAGGATTAATGCATGTGATGCTCTTGCGTTTTCATACTCACGAGAAGCCAAACTGCATGGCAACTGGAGTGCTTGCGGTTCGAGGTACGCGGCATGGCTAGCCACCGCAACTGACATGTCCTGAAGGGGCCAACCAAACGTCCAGTATGTAGCTGTCCTGCGTGACGTCATAGAACGAATTACGTCATGCGGTGAATACTGCTTGCACTTTCATAGTAGCTGATTGACTGATAGATAGACAAGCAAACATAAACTAGACACGTACAAAACAATAACAACAAACAGACTATGACAGAGACGTCAGGATGGGCACGCGTGCGAGAAAGAGCGAGAGCCACGAGGGTCGACACGCGTGGATGTGACGAGGAAAGCGACAGAGAGAGTGAGGGAGGGGAAATGAGACAGGAGACAGAGAGTAGGAGACAAAGCATAGGGAGACAGCGATGGAGAGACATGGGGAGAAAGAGAGGAAGAGAGAGAGACAGAGAAAGTGAAAGAGAAGAAAGAGACACACACAAGAGATAATTAGGACGAGGAGAGAGGGAGATTAGAGAGGGATAGAGAGGAGTGAGAAGAAAAATAAGGAGAGAGAACGCGAGAGATGGAACAGAGAGATAGATAAGAGAGAGCAGAGAAGGAGAAGGGACGAGGACGAGAGATGAGAAAAAAAGAGGAGACAGAGAGAGAGAGACAGAGAGATAAGGCAGGGAGAGAGGGAGAACGGCGAGGCAAGAGAGGCAGAGAGAGAGAGGAGAAGTGACGCGCGAACTCGGAGAGAGGAGAGGAAGAGAGACGATGAGAGAAGAGAGAGAGAGAAGAAAGAGCACACAGACGAGAGAGAGCAGATGAGAAAGAGAGATAGAAGCGGGGAGAACAGGCGCAACAAGACGAGAGGAGAGACGAGGAGCGAGACGAGAGAGAGTATGAGAGAGAGAGACAAATTGAGACGGCAGAGCAGCGACACGAGCGACGAGCGAGACGGAGAGCAAGATCGTTTCGCCTACTTTTGATCGCAATAGGTCCTTCACTAGTGGCCTGTCTTCTACGATGTTCACCTCCACCTGGCCGGAGCGCGTTTCCGACACTCTGTAACATGGCAACCAGCTCGTTACAGACTCCCACTCCCTTCACACTAATGCAGCAAAATACAGACCAATAGGAATAAAGTGGACTCTAGTCAGTGTGTGCTATGGTGGGTGTGTATGAGGGTTAGTGTGTAGGGGTTCAGCGTGTAAGAGGGGTCAACGTGTACAGTACAGGGGTGAGTGTGTATGGGGTGTATATGGGGGAAGGGGGTTGGCTAGTACAGGAGTTAGTGCGTTGGGGGGGGGTCAGTGTGTACGGAGGGAGGGGGGGTATCAGTGTATACAGGGGCAGAACAGTGTATGGAGCGGCAGGGGGCAGCGAGTACAGGAGTTAGTGCGTGGGGGTCAGTGTTTACGGGGGAGGGGGGACCAGTGTGGAAAGAGTCAGTGTGCAGTGGGGGAGTGTGTGTAGGGGGTGAGTGCATAAGGGGTCAGTGCATAGGAGCGATTGTGTATTGAGGGGATTTAGTGATTGAGGGGAGTTAGCATGTAGATGGTGAGAATTTAAGAGGGGTCAGTGCGTACGTACTCGTAGAGCTTGACCATCTCGGCGGTGGTGACCTCATACTGGCGGTCGTCGCCGCCAGCATCCGCAGACTGGATCGCATCCAGGTCCTTCTCACCAAGCTCCTGTTGTGAAAACACAGGCATAAGAAGCAATATGAATTAACCCACGTGTATGCCCTTAACGAGAACTATCACCCTTTCATTTGTATTTGCGAGATATAATTAAATACGTATTCACTGTAGTTCGGTATCTAGCGCTATGCCATCGTGCGATGACGTCATTGAATGATGACGTCATGTTGTGATGACGTCACCACACAATGACATCTCGGCGCGCAATGATGCAATGTAACATTACGTTTTTCTCATAGAACGTTGACAAAAACGTGGTAAATTTACCGGTTTCATCACAAATAGTGTAAAGAGGTCCGGTCTACGAGGAAATGTTAATGTTAAGACTATCGTTAAAACTAATTTTTGTTTCTAACAAAAAGGGCCCCTGGTCCATCAGCACAGCGCACAGCTGCCAGTGACACATAAGTTAAAAGCCAACCTAAGAGATAATCAAATGCAAATATGTTGTGCTAGATCGAGGTTTTGCTAAGCCAACAGCAGACGAACTAATAGTACGTATACCTGCCAGGGAAACCACAAGTTAAAGGCCACCCTAAGAGATAAACAAATGCGTTTGGCTAGATTTATGTTTCTGCTGAGCTAACAGCAGACGAATCTCTAGTATAGTAACGTACGGCGAAGAACCTGTTGTTGGTGTCGAAGTCGTCTTCGACGACGTGGACGTGAGCTTCACCTTGCTGCAGATCGTCCCGGATGCGCCTCGCCATCTCCATGCCCTACACATCGATACACGTGAGAGGGCTGCGGGTGTGTGTGTGTGCGTGTGTGTGTGTGTGTGTGTGTGTGTGTGGTGTGTTGTGTGTGTGTGTGTGTGTGTGTGTGTGTGTGTGTGTGTGTGTGTGTGTGATGGGAAGGCTATGGGGGCAGACACAGATACACGCACGAACGCAGGCGCGCACGTACACGCACACATGCACGTATATAACGCGCGCGCACGCACGCACGCACGCATACCCGCACGCACCAACGCACCAGCAAACGCGCGCACACACACGTTCACACACAGCACACGCACGCACGTACCCACAATACGCGACCTCACACCTACAAATGCGGATATGTGTAAGCACAATTCATAAACGAATATGAGGGTAGTACCACTGTATTACGCCACTCAACGAAACGCCAAAATTGTCAGTTATATACAGGTGGCCGTTCTAATAAGGTGGTTTCGCAGTATAACTGTCACTCGAGGGAAACTGTCCAAGAGCGTTTCATATACATATACGGGTGTCTGTTCTCTAGAGGTGACCACTATATACAGCTTTCAGGGCCGTAGCCTGCGGGGGGCAAGGTGGCAGCTGCCCCCCCTAAGTTTTGGAGCAAAATTAAAAATAAATTGTTGTACTAAAGAGAATTTGTTTGTAGTCAGAATGAGGCTGTACATTTACTCAAAGTGCCTCAATACTATCTCCTGCGATCTACATTTTAAAAAATTTTTGGGAGGACCCCAGACCCCCCATTTTATTACTCACCTGCTCCTTGAAATCCTGGATCCGTTACTGCCCCCCCCCCTAATCATTTGCTCAGCTCCGGCCGGCTTTGCCTCTGCGTACGCTTGATTCCCGCGAACGTTTGCCCTACTTACCTTGAGCTTCTCCGGTTTGCTTGGACTGCGGAGGAATCCAGACGAAGATGTTTTGCGAGGCAGTCGAGGATGAAGACATCTCCCATGTTGAGAGAGGAGCACTTCCTCTCCACCTGAACGTGACAGAGACGACGATGTTACGAAGCGTGATTGAAATATACTCACATGCACGGCACTGGGCGCGCGCGCACGCACGCACGCACGCACGCACGCACGCACACGCACACGAGCACGCACACGAGCACACGCACTCACGCACGCACGCACGCGCGCGCGCACGCACGCACGCACGCGCACACGCACGCACGCACGCACGCACGCACACTCACACGCACACTCGCACGCACGCACGCACGCACACGCACACTCACACGAGCACACGCACTCACGCACGCACGCACGCAAGCACGCACGCACCCCCACACACACACATACACACAAACAATCAAGCGCACCTCGTGACATCTGACGTTGCGGTGACCTTTGACCTTGAGCAACCTCTTGGTGTAGGCATCCCTGTCGACCTTCGTGAACCCTGACTCGGCACCACCCTCCAGGTAGCTGCAGCAATGTGGGGACACATCACATTACGCCCACTTATCCCCTATGTACTAACTAATATATGTATATATATTTTATAATTATATTTATAAATATAATGTTAGTACATAGATATCAGTGGTCTGGTCACGTCAAAGACACTACCACGTCGAAGACTGATCAATTTTAGATCTAGACTGCCTCAATAATTAACTCCCGGCCGATTTTTTTCAACGACTTGTAGAACCAGTCTATGACGTTGACGTCAGGAATTTTATTCAGTAAACGTCGCTCTACGTGTATAGAGAGTTAATCGAGTTTTTTTTCATTTAATTTAAATGAAATTGAGCTTGAGTTTAAGTTGATCGTAAATAGATGGCGCTTGCTGCTATGCGCCTGCATCACATCAGATCACGTCGCTATAAACGCGCGGCTGCTTGCTCACTCACATGATTCCCTTCTTGAAGTAAGAGATGAATTGCGAGGATTCGTGATTTTGAACCTTGAACAGGAAAAGGAAGAACCTGTAAACGGGGGATGAGTCCGGCCTCGCGTGATTCATGATTTAATATCTAAATAGATATAGTTCTACATTGGGCTCACACGTCCCGCAGCACCACTACATTTAGCAAACATGGCTGGCTTCGACTGCCAATCATAATGATAACAATAATAATAATAATAATAATAATAATAATAATAATAATAATGAGAAGAAGAACAAGAAGAAGAACAAGAATGATAATTGAAAATTTCATTAAATTTTTTCCATTAGCTGCGCGTAGATTGACCTCTCGTCGACCTCCGTCGACCTCCCGTCATCGATGACGTCATTCACCTCGCGCCACTGGGTGGCCTGACCTCCGAGCGCGTCGTCTAGTTCGACGGACTTGATCGCCGCCGTGCCCTGTTCGTCCTGTGACGAGTCCTTGCCGAGCCAGAAGTGCAGGTCCCACGAATAGCTGCCGCTGCGGGTCTTACCCGTCTGTGCGAACGCAGTACGAAGGAGTTAATGGTAGGTAGGTGGTAGACGGGTGACCGCGCACGCACGCACGCACGCACGCACGCACGCACGCACGCACGCACGCACGCACGCACGCAGGAACGCTCGCGCACACGCAGGCCGTACGCACGCACGCTCGCGCATACTGGACGGTCGCACACACGCGCGCACATATACACAGGCACGGACGTACACACTAGCGCACGCACAGACGCACTCACTCTTACACGGACCCAAACACGCACGAACGTACACACAAACACACACACACACACACACACACACACAC